TTTTTTTTCGTTTTCAATTGTGTTACAGTGATGTTGCACGCATATATATTCTCTATCTTCTTGTGATCCTCTTTCGTCTTCCTTTAATCTCCGTTGGTATCTTCTTTTCTTTCTTTCTTCACATACATATTATAGATGTTTTCGTCTGTTTTTGTCTTTTACATAATAAAATTCGTGCATGAACATCAGCACATATAAAAATGCACAAATCAACAAAAAAGAATAAGAATTAAAAAGGGAACAAAGCTAGGAGAAATAGCATGATAAGATTTAAAGGAGAAATGAGGTTTAAGTTAATATATAATTTACAATAAATTATTTTTGTATAATGGAGGTATAAAATCAAATTTCTATATACAAGTTAAAAATATAATATTGAGTAGAACATCAAACATTGCGAATGAATTAATAAATAGTCAATATAATTGTTAACTTTTTTACATAACTCAAGCAAAATTAACTTTGTTTTTTGAAAAAATATGTATGAATAATTTCATTTAAATTGTATAATATTTAATAATTAACTTGAATCATACATCTATCAGAAGCTGAAGTTTTGATGTTGTAAAATTTATTTCTGTGATAAATATTTTAATTGAATAAAGTATATTTGCCGATTAATTAAAACTTAATATTTAATTCAAAGTTTTACCTGTAATTTTTATAATATTCGAGTTAAAAAGGAATAATAAAGTTGAATTTTAATATGTATTGATTGGAATAAAAAATACTTAACATCATGTTGATTGATTTTTCAACGTTAATATCAAAATAAATTATATTATTATATATTTAATTATTTAATCTATTAAATATATATAGATTTACTTGTATAATAACTACAATATCAATTTTAATTCTATTATATTACAGCCGTATTTTAATAGAATTAATATTTGATCTCCAAATAATTCATCAATTATATACTTATATTATGGCCATCCTTGATTTGTCTTTCAAGATATAAGGTACTTCAAACTACTATACGGGTTTATATTATCTTTAATAATTAATCAAGTAGATCGAATATTAATAAGTCTAATAATTACAGAAATATTTATCAATCCTTTCCAATATTAAGTAGGAATTGATAAGTCATAACTAGTGTAATAATAATTTATAATAATATTTAATAACTATGAAATAAAATGGAACTTTTCAGGAATTGATATTAATTATTTTTAATTTCATAGAAGAGGTAGTCTATATGCACGACGGAGCACCGGCTCATTACACTCAATCTGTCCGACACTTTCTGGACAAAACATTTCCTGATAGGTGAATTGGTCGACGTGGATGCATCAACTGGCCGCCACGATCTCCAGATCTCACACCAACTGACTTTTTTTTATGGGCTGTCGTCAACGAACATGTATACGCGACGAAACCTCAAAGTCTTCAAGCACTAAAAGATGCGATACTTACTGAAATACGAAGTTTACCAATAAAATTTTGTCAAAGCCCTTGCTACTCAGTACCTGAGAGACTGCAACTTTGTAAAGACTTAGGTGGTAAACATATTGAACAATTTCTCTGAAGAACTTCATAATAAGAACACTCTACAAAGACATACTTTTGCACGCATTTTTTTCTTAGTTGAAACTTCTAATAAAAGTTTTATTGGAACTCACAAGTTTTTTCTTCTTGTTAGTCGTTCTGTATTTGAACGCTTTTAGATTGTTTACTACATTTACATATCGTTCATATGCCCAATCTTTTATTTATCACATCTAGTATATGTGGTATAAATATCAGGCGTAAGCAACAATCTATAAGATAGAAATCGAAAAAAAAAAGACTATTTTTCCTTACTTTTGGGCCACCCGGTATATCTCGAACTATCTAACGGTGATTTTTAACTAATAGGTGAGCATCGATCAGATTAGAAAGACTTAAAAGGGTTGACGCTCGTTGATGTTCGTTTCAGGGTTATGTTCATTCTGCTAATTTTTCACCACCTGAACAAGATAATTACAGAAACACTTAAGAATCGTATTTCGTCCTAAAAGTTCATGCATATGTAAATCTATTGTTCCTTAGAAAATATAAAGAGTTTCAACAAAGATGAATGCTTTTATTTCAAATGGATCAAATTTTAGTGAAACTTTAGTTTCCTAATCTTCTTATGAAGTAAAAGTGAGATTTTATATTCTTATATCTTAAAAAAGAAACATTCATTTTAACTGAACTTTTAGTATTCTCTAGGAATCGTTCCGCCTATATAATGGTTACATTTTCTGATTGTAATACAATCATTTAATTCTCTGACCAGTGAAATTAGGAAAGTGATGAACAAACGTCTTGTTCATATATTATCATTAATAATTTCCTTCACCTCTTACCCGATAAAATGCTAATGGATATTCTAACTTTCACTTTCTTTTTATAATAACGGATGGGACAGATTAGATAAGTATTTTTTTATTTCTTGAATATCTCAGGAACTTTTAATCCGATCGAGCTGAACTTATTTTTATTACTCAGGGCATATCAAAAGTCTTTACGGTCCTATATGAATTTCTTATAGAATAGTTGAAGAAATTTTCTTTTTTTTATAGACTGATAGTAAAAACAAAGGTCTACATTTCTACACAATTTGATCATTATTCATCTAATATCATAATAATAAAATTTGTATGAGAACTATTTTTCTGTGAATTTAACTAATGGATGAGACAGATTAAATATTTCGATCAGTTAATACGTTGTGTTAAAAAAGAAAATATCCAAGCACAATATGCAGCGTGAAAATCTCTACAATCTACGAAGTAAAGCTTATTTGAATTGTTTACTTCTTGTTTTGAAAAAAAAGTAAAATCCAGTGCGACCAATTTTTGCTGCCTCGAAAAAAGAATTTTTTCTATACGAAGAGAAATTCCTTTTTTCTTATTTCATATATAAAATAAACTGTTCTTTATAAATTGTAGAGGTTTTCACGCTGCATATTGTGCTTGGATATTTTCCTTTTTAACACAACGTATTAACTGATCGAAATATTTAATCTGTCTCATCCATTAGTTAAGTTCACAGAAAAATAGTTCTCATACAAATTTTATTATTATGATATTAGATGAATAATGATCAAATTGTGTAGAAATGTAGACCTTTGTTTTTACTATCAGTCTATAAAAAAAGAAAATTTCTTCAACCATTCGATAAGAAATTCATATAGGACCGTAAAAAGACTTTTGATATGCACTGATTAGATCTGACTGAACTCACAAAACATCTTCTATGTGATAAAATTTAGTCATTATTCGGGAATTTATCGCATAGGAATTATACGTTAAAAACTTCCATTCGTTTGTAGTCAGTTGAAAAATCAAGAATCCTCTTATGCTCTATATTTTTCTTAGTCCAACCATTTTGTCATGCATTGTCAGTTAAATTACTGTTCTTTTTTTTCCAAAATAGGATATCGCTACAAAATAATTCAAGATAATAAAACAATCGTTATCGAAATATACATAGATTCAGTTTCTGGGTTTATATACTCATTATATGAATAAAGTGTTGTCCACTTGGTCACTACTAACGAGGAAACTATCGAACTGATCTATCGCTTCCGACACCATCGTTTTATCATAAGTAGATATCAATAAGACTAAGAGAAGTTCAAATCGTTATGTCTATGAAACTTTCATCCACACATATAATCAAATGAAGCTCTTGTTTGACATGAGGCAGAAAAAAGTCATCTTATTGATAATGTACTCTCATAAGATAATTTTTTTCAATCGTTCGAGAAAGAAATTGAAATGAGAGATGCTCTCATGCACATTCATTTATTCTTCATGCATTTAGTTAGAATTTGATACGATTTTTCCTAGATTCTTATTCAATAAATTCAACAGAATAAAAGTCATATCAACTTAAGACAATCAAAGATCAGTCACACAAGTGAGCTGAGTCACTTCATGATTAATTATCGAAAAAAAATGAGACAAAAGCATTATTTTATTCGTCAAGCAATATCACACGAATAACACTAATGGATATGATCTGGAATAAAAAGATGTCATCTTCCAATAGAGTTTCTGGTGAACAATTATTCTAAAATGGTGTACACATTAGCATGTTCTTGTTTTCTAAGCCTTCCACAAAGGGAATCTGTGTGTAATGCGACGATTTTCATGATATGTTATGTCAGGATTGGGATCGATGAGTCCGTATGCAAATAGGACAACATTTATTCCTGGCTGGAAAAAAAAAGTAGACGAAAAAGTGTTGAACATGGAAAGGATAGATATTACTTTAATAGGAATATCCATCGAGTCTTTTGTATCCAATGAACGTTTGAATTGAATGGCTGTCCAGTTATTTTCTTCTCGACCTTGCAAACCAAACCAATCTTGTGTTGTTGAATCTTTGACTGGTTGTGTAAAGCCAACAGCATGTCGATCCTGGTTTTTTTTTACAAAAATAATGTATTAGATCGTTTTGAACCATAACTAGATTTACCTCAAAATGCACATTTCCACTTGCATCAATCCAACCAATACCCATGTCTGCATCTTCACTGACTCCATTATCTAGAAAAAAGATAAACCAAGAAACTCATGTTTTCTCTGTAGGATATCTTTCTCTTATCACTTTTTTCATTTCATGTCAATGTTGACAGATCAGAGATACATACAGAACTCAACAATATTTGACTGTTCTGGGTTGAAAAATATTAGTTACATAACTCATAAAAGTAAATTCAGAGATATGAGAAACTGATTATTTTTATTTTCTATTTCGAATGCAAGCTTTCAGCGTTCGTTAACAAAACATTGATCTGTATCAAAGATAAGATAAATGCAAGATCTTACCTAGTGCAATACCAAGCCCAATCCATCCTGTCGTTTTGACATGTAATTCAAATGTAATCTCCTTGTTGACTTCATTCACTGTCCACCATAACTCAGCAATATTATCAATGAGTTCAGTTACATTTCGATATGTTGAAAACTGACGAAGGGGACTCGATATACATTGAATATTAGTTGCAATTTGGAGTAAAACCACTATCGTCAGGAAAAATGAATTCTGAATAAATGAAAAACTGAAATATTAGTATTGATGGTATATTCAACCTACCATCATTGTTGTGTCTCGAGTGTCTGAAATATGCTTCTCTGATTATATCGATGAGAAGATTAAAAAAGATAAATAATGGATTATCGAACTATTGATCTAGTTAACATTATCAGATCGTTTGTACTATGACATTTTTTCGATAACAACAAAGACAACTACAAAACAAAAAATGTTAAAATCAATATGATAAGAAAGAGGCATTTTAAAAAAGCAAAGGTTATCTTTTGTATTATCAATGTTGTGACATAGTTTATTCTTTGATTACTGTCAAATACTCGAAAAAGGTTTTTACTTGATCTGAATACTCATTCGATGACTGATCTGAAACAAATAGTGAGAAAAATATTGATGTTAAAATCTCAATTATATTCTCTCGGAGTGATCATCAATTTATTTTCGTTTTGGTTGTCAGTTAGAAAACGATAAAATATTATATGTCATCACCAACGATGATACAAGAGGAGTAGACTGTTGACAGAATATATATGTTTTATAATTTGACTTATTCATCTCTTACTTCATGTCAACGCTCTACTCCAACCGCATAAATTCGATGATATTTCCCATTGTTCTATCATCAGTGTTCTTTGATTGAATCAGCTAAACTCCAAATCTCGAAAATCTTAGTCACGTTTTTCAGGCAACTTGATTGTCACTCTTAAAGATGAAACTTCGAAAACAAATCTAATAACTCGAAATACTGAAATTAGTAAATGATCGTATAAACAATTCGATTTTTACGGAACCATTGAAGTAGGAAAAATAGATGTGTCAGCCAGATCGACACATATTCATGCTCTTGATGTCAATTTGATGGTAACCATTCTTTCGTTCAAAGTCGAACGTTTGCAGTGTCACGTCTAGATCACCTTGATAAGGATGATCGATTGGTACGAATCAGTTGATTTTCTTCATGTAGTCATAATAGTGATACACTTATCGATGATATGAATGCATTGATAGAGACCGATTATTCGGAATAATATTTTCCCGAGATTGTTAGTGAAAAAGATGAACAAACAAGATCGAAAATACCTCATTTTGAACTGATCAGACTATTGACACATACTTGGGCCATTCATCATGCTTTTCGACATATCAATCCAAAAGGAAAATATGAACAAGTAGCAACATGTTCATATGAAACTTGTATCGATTATATCTTTTTACGTCCACTATCTAACGATCAGTAGGCATTTACAAAATGCATCATTCTACATATTCATCAAGCGATTGATCATCGTGGGTGTGGGTAAAGGTGCTAGGATTATCATTCCTAAGATGCCTACACACCCAACTCATACCCTGAGTAACTATTTATTTAAATAAATGAAGTTTTTCATTTAGATTCTTCTCAACATCAAAATGAACAGTAAGCATTGATTTAAATAAATAAATTTTTCTTTGTTTTTGTTTAGATCAATCTCGACAACAAAAGGAAAGGTAAGTATTATTTTAGAAAAAAACAAAACAATTTTTATTTTTTACAGCTGCCGCAAATGGTATGAAATGACGCTGATTAGCTTAGCCGAATGTTCTAATTTTTTTTTTTATGATACTATGGAGTACTATAACTGATTAAAAAATTATATTTATCTCATACACTATAGAAACAATCTGATAAAAAAAGAATTGACCATCCGGTCAGACTAATCAGCTCCATATATATATAACGCATTATAAAATAAAAAGTTGATCAGTCAACCATTGATGCTGCAGATAATATCCGATTTACCTAGAGAAATCTTATAGAATTTCATCAGATCCTGTAATTTTCGACATTTTCCGATTGATGACTTCGATACCAAGGACTCCGACAATTTTCGACGGAACCCTGTCGAAAATTATCGGATCACCCGTCGGAATTAATAGGATTCGACGAGATCCGAGTCCAGGATTTCTCGTCCTGAGCATTTTAAAATTGAATCATTGAATATAAAATAAACATAAAAGGAATTATTTAATAATTTCTCTGAAAATTGTTTATTTGAATTGATATAACGTAAATATGTTGATTATATAGATTTGTAAAGATAGTGCTAACCTATTAATTATAGTTAAGATCGTTTTAGTGAATATTTGATTAAGGATTTGTTAATATACCGATGAATAATGAAGATAAATAATCTTGAAGATAAGCTGAATGATTGATAGAATATGGTTAAAGTTTGATTTGAAAAGAATTTTTCTTTCTTTGAATATATTCTATTATTGAATAAACTCGTTCTTATTTTTACAAATGATTATTTTCAAATAATTTTATGTCAACAAAAAAAATAAAACGATTCTTTTCAGATGAAATATTCTGAATACGCAACCGGTTATTCGACCTATCTATAAGTAGGCTTTTCATATCGAAATTCTTTTCTTTTTTTTTGATTAATCGATATATAAACAAATCTGGATCGAAAATTCTCTAAAAAGATCGTAATTTGTCTCGAAAGGTTAATTGAGAATAATTATTGAATAGATATTCTAGTTTTATCGATAGATAATTGTCATTCAAAGATGAATTAAAAAAGTAGCTACCAGTTCGAATCATTCTCTCCTTAGAAAACAAAATCTTCCCTCTTCTTGTTTCTTCATAAGAATTGTTCATCTTGATCACATTTCTTTCACAGATAAATAATCAAATAATGAATTTAATTAGAAAAAAATCGTCTTTTGTTTTTTTCCTAATAAAATCGAGATAAGTAAAAAAACCAGGAGAAATTGAAAAGGTGAAGACGAAGATAAACTTCGAAGTGTGTAATCGAGGAATTTCTGGTTGAAATATTCTTGGAAAAAGTGATCTTGTTTATGTTAAAAGAGATTTTTTATAATTAATATCAATAATTGATTGTTGATCTGTTTCTCGAACGCCTTTAGAGAACATTTGTAGTTTCAGAACATTTTTTGAGACCAAAACGCATACAAACGCGTTGGCACGCATTCATATCACTTTACGCCTCTGATCACGTTTAATTATTAAAATAAACTATCTCTCTTCTAGTGAACGCTATCTAGTTGATAGGATCAATAAAACGCGTTTTACAGGATGTTTCTGTCAATGCATCGAATTTGCCGAAATGCGTTCGGATGCATTAGTTTTCGAAACGAAGTTAGATATATAGTTATATAGTGAGTTTAGTTAGTGCTGATAATTATTTTAAAAAAGAAGTTCTGCCTCTACGAAAATGTGTCCATGAGTTCAGCGTGCCGTATCTTCGTTGGAATGTTGTTGTGACTGAAGTAAATACTGTGTCTCATTATATTAGGTTTAGAAGAGAAAATAGTGGCTGAAAACAAAATATTACTTTTTAATCCATTTAGCTCTACGTATGGGCTTTTCTTTAATTTAATTGAACAAGAATAATAAGCCGAAGGATACGTCTACGAATGATTCCTTATCACACATATCTCAACAAGCCATGTATTCATGCTTGAACTTCTAAACCGTTCCTCAACGTCTATATACTATACATATTGGCGCGTTTGAACCCATCTACAATGCAACTTTTCGAGGGTCTGAACGGGTACGACGCGAATAAACACATCTTCTCTCGTTTCAGCTCTACAACATAACAGCTAGTTTATATCTATACGCGCGTTTGAACGCGTTAAAAAACCAAAACGTGTGGAAACTCGATCATCCTGAAAAACATATTTATACGCGTTTTTTGAATTTTGTATGTTACGACACTGTTATAAGATACACTTGTTTATTTTATTCTCACAAAAAAATCAAAAAATAACTATTACTATGTGCCGGAATTGAATCGGATTCTAGCATTCAGACTGCATCGCTATTATTAAAATACAAACCAAGTTAGGTTTGAATTAAAAGATTAGTTATATATAGCAGTAGTCGTATCATAATTGATTGCTACTTGCACATCCTTTATTGAAAATATTTAATTGTTGTCAAAACTCTATGGCTTGTTCTATATTATTTCTAAAATGCTTAGGGATGCGCAGACGATAGGTTATAATCTTATAGTTTTTGTAAACTTCATCGTTTTTTCCTAAACAAACAAATAAATTCTTTGAATATACTACTTTTGTTACCAACTGTTTCAGTTTATCTCAATTTCTCAAATGCTTTCTCAAATATGAATGTTGGTTTATCTTTATTGTTCTATATAATAAAAAAATGAATGAAAATAAAAACTTTTAGATTTATAATATAAAGATAAATAAATTAAAAAATTTTATTACTTACAAAAATAAAGATAAGTAATTATTTTTAATTTATGCTTATAAGAAAAAGATAAATGAATATTTTATTCATAAAAATAAAGAAAGTTAAATAACATAAGATAGATTATTTTTTGAATAAAAATCCAAAATATATTATTTTCCCCAGATACCCAAAACCACTTTAATGTCATAATTACACAAAAGTACATAGACAAGATTTTTTCTACATATTGTTAATTCAAGAATGGAAATAGCTAGAGAGCTCCGATTTTCATCGTTCGAAAGAGGAGATAAAGATGCATCAAATCATACATTACAGACTTTTTTGACATGAATTATTTAAGTTTTTTAATAGGCTTTTTTCAAAGCAAATCTATCCTCTCAGGTGTTTACAGTGAATTCTTAATTATTACCTGTGTATTAAAACCGCTAATGAGAGACCTAAAAACCTGTGCAAGATTCAAATGTTTAGAATTGATCACTCGGAAGTTATAGGTATATTAGTCGAAGCTATAAGCAATTTTTCTGGCAATTTCCATACTTAGAAAATTGATTAAACAAAGTTCAGACAACATGTTAGAAATAAATATAATATGCGGTTGGACGCACCTTCGTCTCCTTTTTCGAAAGATGAAAATCGTATCTCTCTCCCTTGTTTTTATCAAAAGTTATACAAAAAATATCCACGAAATAGACATTAGTATTATTGTTATATTTGAGAAAAAAACAGGTCTTATCGAAATTTTATTATTAGGATACTAGTTGAAATATGATCAAATAGTATAGAAAAATAGAGCATCGTTTTCTCTATCACTATATAAAAAAAA